AATTTGCACCGCTCTCTGAGGTGCCCAAATTGAATTTATGTAACCCCGCCTTTAGATTTGCACCTACACACTAACAGGCGGACAGTCGAACTTGTATTAGTGGGGTATTTGGCAAGAGCCGACTAACTGATAGTGTTGGTAAGATGTCAATGGCGTGGACAATCCAATTGGCAGCGTCGACACAGAAACCTAGTTCCGTTACCCTACTACGGAATTGATTTGGACATGATAGGACCGATCTATAAAGCCTTGGGCAGACCAAACGCGGGGCAGTAGCAGCGCAGTTTGAATGAGGGCCCGCGCAAGTTGTAATACAAGAAACTCTTTGAAGTATGTCTCCAAACACCAAATTTGGAACGCGGGCCCGCGCTCCAACCGCGCCGCACTGCAACTGCCGAAATACAAACGAGGCGGCGCGGGTGCGGGACAGAAGCGGGAAGCGGTGCGAACGCGGGCCCGCGCTGTTGTAAAATTTTACTGATTGCATTTTTGGCATCAGTATCGATCACTAATCACCCCCTGATAGTTATTTTGAAAATATATGTCATGGAGAGAATTGACCTCTCTACAGATTTATTATAAGTTAAAGATAAATTAAATAATATCAAGCTAGCAAGCAAAATTCAATGACACCAGACAAAGTCATTTTACCAACAGATTTTGTACATGTTTTCATGAAAATTGAGGTTGAATTTTATTAACCTTGTGTTAAAAAGCTTACGCTTAGCATTTCTGAATCTCAATGAGTTTTGAAGGTCACATCACTTCATTAGTGCCAAACCACCGAGCCGTACCAGGGCCCAACTTGCTGTAATTATGTTAACTAAACTTATGATTAGATGCGACTGACTAATGGCACAACTTGCAGTGGTTGTATCCCTGAGTTACGAAACTTCATGTAACATCGTTCACACTTCGGCGAAGTTTCTTCGATTTTCTCGAAAAGTGGAAAGTGATGTATCTATACTAGACTTTTATTGCCTGTGACACTACCAATCTTATAATATTAAAAGTACCAATATGAAATAGGGTAGCTGCATTATTTTCAGTTTTTACTACATTCTTTCCACACTTTTATTGAATTGGCAAACAAAATTTAATGACGGTGAATGGTAGGCATTTCATTCCCAAAATCTAAGAACTAATCTAAAAACATAGTCGCGTTTTAACATAAAAAAACGTTAGATTGAAAGTTTTATCTATTTTATAATGCAAATACTGAAGTATCATAAACATTAATGAAAACTAATAGCTTGTGGCCATGTAGAAAGAAGAACTTTAACTTGTAGAATATTGGTCGATAAAAGCTTTAGAGACAACTTTGACTTGATCTAAACTGTCGATGATTAATCCCATTTGTAGGGACAAAAAGGGATAACTCGATTGAGTTCAGACCATGCTTCTAAAATGAAAACCAGTGGAATTTCTAGGCGACAACTTTGTGGATATCCCATGGCATAGTTTAAGAATATTATCGTAATAAAAGAACAGTTTTTTAGTGCACACTTTCAAAATAGGAAGGAATGTTGGGCTTCAATGTACTAAAGTACAGGTCCGTCGTGGCATAGTACATAGCTTAATGTAGAAAAGGCCATGCTAAGTGATAATTTGCAAACAGATAGTAGTGTCTGTGTCTTTCATAGCTTTTTAGTGGTTAAGTTTAGGAGATCTTGTTGGCCTAACCCCAGTGCTGTGTGCGTGGCCTAATGGCAAAGATGACCAATATTGCCTGACGATAGAGCCCACCACAGCAAAAGTCATCACTGAACGTCGCACTGCTAGTTTACGGCCTCACTCGGGAATTCCCTTTGTTTTTGTTTTTAAATTCTCTCTGGTCGGGACTAGACTATGGATGGGCTGTCGATGGACGTTTCGGGATTCAAATGATTTATTCATGGTCCTCAACGCTTTATAGCTGCCCGATAGTGCGGTAGGTTTTATTGATAGATTCGCTATTTTTTTTAGAAATGACTGGTACAATACTCTGTCTATCTGTCTCACTTTCACGCTTAAACCACTGAACCGATTTTGATGAAATTTGGTATAGAGATAGTTTTTATCCCGGTTTTTGAAACAGGGACGCGTGCTATAAAATTTTTCTGTGACAGAAAAATTCCACGCGGGCGATGCCACGGGCGGTAAGCTAGTGGAATTATATTGCAAGATGCTTGATGACGATGATTTGTGATTTTTATATTAATATTTTAATAATTTCATCCAGATTTTCAATGAATATAAATGGAATCGTTGCATGCAAATCTGATATTCTCTCGTAAGGTCAAAGTTCAAAGCGCACCTGATAGCAGGTGCAAGCGAATTGATTAGAGCACGAACACGACGCAACAAGAGCAAAAAAGGAGTAGGTAACGTAGTCAAAGGCGTGTCAACTTATCTAGAATTCATGATTTCTCTCTGGCAGGATGAATGTGAAGCCAAATCTTTGCGAAAAAGGGTTAAATCATCTAGTTATGTGTCTTAACAAATGTATAGAAAGGTACATAAATACATAAGTATTATGTTACGACGGCACGTGGTAGTTAAATCTCGCGGTTTTTAATCATCATAGATCATCATCGACAATCATTCATAGACAATCATCCACATCCACTGCAGAAGCTTGACCCTCTCTCATTTACCAGAGGCAAATGAAGGATTTAGCCTACCAGCCAGACGGGTTGGGAAGGTTTTTAATCAATCAGTCATGTAACATCTTCTCAAAACAACACAAACGTGGCTTAAAATCTGCATGACACACGCCAAAAGCAGCACGCATATCAACACCTCCCCTATCTTTGAATCGTCATCGTTAAGCGGGGTGAATATATGAGCCGGTGTTAACAGAAGCCGGGCCATTAAATTGGATTCGGTAGAAAGCATACCTCCGTGCAAATTGCCTTGTTCCTGCAGCTTTGACAATGCGGCGGCATTTGTCCAGTGCGGGGGTAGTGGTGGGAAGAAGCGTTGGGATGTCCCACTGTGCTAGGATTAAATAATAAATAATTGACCCCCTTTTGTCTGATCATTAGGTAAACCTTCTTCCTTTTTAGCTCTTTTGAGTCTTTGTCTCTTCTTTCTAGAAATTTAATTGCAATCTTGGCTCCATGACTGCTCAAATTATTAGATATCTTTAGAGTTATCCCGATAGATAATATTATCAATCTGAATTAATAACTATCATTCTGACTTAACGAGATTTGCGCTTCATTAGCGTTGATGAATGAATATCTAATCTTTGAAATTCTGCTTCTTCTGGAAATTTTCTGAATCCTTCAACTGTTTAGAGGCGTAAGTTTGAAACAATTCTGCGTAACAACAAAGTTGAAACTTCAGTTGTCCCACCGTGTCTCATCACTAACGGCGTCACAGTAATTGCATCCGTTACAGACGATGCGCCGAGGACTGACCTTTGTTAAAAGTTACATTGGCAGGTGAAATAAGGCGGACTCGTTACGGCCGGGCTAATGCGGGACTGCTCAAAGCTTATCTTATTTAGGGACCCCACTTTAGGGGCAATTAGGTTTTGGTACTTACTACTTTAGTTTCAAAAAAGTCTGTGTACGATAAAATAAATTAATGTACTAATATTTTTAAACACACTGAAGAATGTACATTCATAATGATTTTATGCATAAAAATCGCAACGAAAACTTTTGAGACAAGTTGAGATATATTCTAAAATATTGATGTGTGTAAAGCTATATAAACGAGTAGGCAATGTAACAGCACATTTTAAATCCATTTGCCTAGAGACGGCAAAAAAAAAGCTCTGAATCTGATACAGTAAACAATTACAAAGAGTTCGCAGGCATTGTGCCTAACGGCATTACTCGAAAAATAACACTAAAATAAAAAGAAGAAAGTAAAAATACCGGCGCGAAGGTAGCGAATAGCACTTTTGAAGGCATCAAGTCGAGATGGGAGGCTAAATTGTAATGTTTACAAGTTAAATTAGATGAGGGCGGTGGAAGTTATTCATAATGGAGCCTCACCTTTTTGTGGTGGTCTCTGGTAGATTACGCACAATTTGTTTCCCCGGCTCGCGACGAAAGCGCCGTCGCTTCTACCTATTTGTGTACTTAATTTGATTCTCTCGGGGATGACGGAATTAGAAATAATAGCGATTGCGAAAGGTGAATTTTTGTATAATGAGTACGTTGGGGTTACACTTAGGGTTACGAAGACAGTAATTTGCAATTTTCTATAACCATTTGCATATTTAAATCATGTTTTAGATGTGATGACATAACAGTTAATTGAGTCTTAACTAGTGGGAAAATGTTACTGTTGTTTTTAGTTTAATGGACGATTAAAAGATTAATTTAGGTATTTTTTTAAATATTTGTTGAAGTCCGAGTAAGGTTCTTATGATGAGAAAAGCTTTTCCCGGAAATAGGTATGTAAAAACTGTAATTGACATGGTCAATGTTACTAGTTTTTGAAAAATGTTCTAATTTCACAATGTATGATTATGTTTATAACCCCTATTTTAGATCCCATGGTTGGAGTAAATTTTATTTATTTATCTTCGGCGAAATAAAAATCGCTTTGAACAGATGGGTGAGATATTTCAAGCTACATAGACAGCATAAGTACAAAATTTAATAATGTAATTTAAGAATTCAGCAAAAGCAGTCAATCATACAGGACTCTAAATCCAAAGAGGACTCCGGAGGTCCTTCTAAATCCCACCTTAAGATTTATCGAGGCTTGCCTCTACTTTACGAGTTTAGTGTTATAGGGTCGCGTGGCTTACCAACCGTTCCGTCGTAGTTTATATCGCCTGCTTGTAAATACGCCAGAGTCAAAATGGCGGATGTATTAGAGCGAATTGAATTATGTCAATTACCAGAAGAATTTAATATTAAAATTCATAAAATGACTGAAATTCACAAGTTATCAAAGGCCATAATTTAAAAACACAAAATAATGTGAATAAAATATTTAATTGACCAACTAAAATATTTACAAAACAGCTAAAATTATAGAAAAATCAAAATAAATCAAGCGACTGTGGTATCAGCAGCCGTGTACACGATTCTCATGGTGTTGGTGAAGCCAGAGCCTTGCCTCCACCCAGAGACGACGACGAGGGGGTCTCCCACCCTGATGAAGCCCAAACCCATGGCCCACTTGGTGCAGAAGTTAACACGCTTCTCCAAATCATTCTGCCAGTCAACGTCCGGAGAATCTAGAAAAATATCAACAAGATGATTTAGCTATAGTAGTCGCCAACCTGTATGTAAAGCGATACTTTACTATTTTTTATCAGGTCATTAGGTATCCACTGCAAGAACACGACCCTTTTAATTACTAGACGAAAATGAAATGGAGATCTAAGAGTAAAGCAATAAAAAAACTTACCCTCGTAAACCAAAGGAATGATTCCTCTCCACATATGCATCTGCCTAGCTATAGGTGCGTATCGAGTCACAGAAATGATGGGACACCTGGGTCTATACTTAGCGACGAGCTGAGCTGACTTTCCTGTAGTGGTCACTACGACGATTGCTGCCGCTATAACTCTTTGGGCTGCTAGTACTGCTGCTAAAGCTGCGCCTGTTGCTTGGTCGCAGGGTAGTGGTGTCTAGAATCATTGGCATTTTATTATTTAAGACTCGGAAGAGACGCTGAGATCAGTGGTTAGTATACTTCAAATGCTAATGAATTAATTGATCTTTGATCAATACCTTTTCTATAAGATCATGATAAAGTTGCTTAGTCCAAACGCAAGCTTCTGCTTCTTTACAAGCACTTGCTAAACAGGCCACTGTATCAACTGGGTACTGCCCCACAGCAGTTTCAGCTGTAAGTATCAGAGCATCCGCACCGTCTAAGATACAATTGGCTATATCTAGCAGTTCCGATCTTAGAGGTATCTTTTTGTACCTCATGCTGCTTAACAAATGTGCACTGATGCAGACAGGAATGTTATTCTGAAAAGATAATCAAAGATTGAATTATATTTGACCAGCGAAAATAAGAGCTCATTTGTTGAAACCAACCTTGTTTGCTCTGGCTATCATGTTCTTCTGGGCTATGACCAATTTTTTTGGCGTAATATCTGATCCAAGCTCTTGTCTAGTTATGATGATACCGTTTGCAACCTAAAAGTTTCAAAGTGTTTGTAATATTGTTACTTATCTAGCTTGTCTTGACTAGATACGCTGAATTTTATTACGCTTAATTTATAGTAACTTACAGTCAAAATTTGATCAAAGTTGTTAAAACCTTCAATAGTTTGAATATTAGCAATGATGGCGATCTTCTTTCCTTTTTCACCTAAAATTCCTTTGAGCTCGGTGACAGCGCTTGCTGAATTTACAAATGATGCGATAAGAATATCAACCTGGTTCTTGATTGCCATTTCTACATCAAGTTTGTCTCTGTCAGTAAAGTTTGGCATATCGAACACAACATTGGGTACAAACACATCCTTGTATGAACCCAAAAAGCCCCCTCTTTCGATTTTGCAGGTAAGTGTTGTCGCTGAAATCATCTCCACTTTCAACATGATTGTCTCATTATCTAAGAGAACCAGATCATTCTTGTTCATTTGATCGGCGAAGTACATGAAGTCAACGTAAACTGTGTACGTGGAACATCTTTCTCTGTACGTTTCATCTGTTGTGAGTCGAACAACTTCGCCGGTTTTTAACTCTACGCTTTCACCGTAACTCTGAAATGAGGTTTTAGAGTTAGTAATCTAAATCTTATTTTAGGGATGTATTGAAACTCGGAAGCAATTTATGGCTCATATGAAATAATGTAAGATGGTGAAAGAATCGTTCAAATCGTGTCCAGTAGTTTCGGAGCCTAATCATTTACAAACAATCAAATATTTCTTCATTATGATATTAGTGTAGATTTGCTTACTTACGTCAGCAATGCGTCCCGTCCGTATCTTCCTGCCAGCTAGTTGGACAGCGATGGCCAGGGGGTAATTCCTGCCCATATTGACGCTGAAGTTCTTCGCAGCTTGCCGTAACATCTTAATCGTATCCACATTCTCCTCTCGCGACCCGAACGACATGTTGATTAAGGCTATGTTCATTCCCGCTGCCATCATTTTCTCCATTACTTCTAATTCGTTCGTCGATTTGCCTTTCAAGAGAAACAAAGACTATGAAAATACCTTCCAAGTAATTTAATGCAATTCCTGGTCGGTAGCAAACAAATCTAAACTACAAAATGTCATAATAAATTTAGTTTTTAAGGTTTCAACCTTTTCCGAAGAATTATGATTTTGTGGAACATTACATTATACCTAACATGTGATGGCGAATATACTTTAAATATGGAACAAAATTACAAGATACACGATGGCGCAAGTGGCGCGGTAAATTGTCTTTGCCGCAAAGGGACACGAGTTCCATTCCTGGGCTGACTGTTGTTAGTAAAATGGTTGTCTTAAAATAACCAGTCTATTATTTAGCTCATACTTTCGTAGTTTTCTTATACTTGACTAGTTTTATGGAAATACTTTTATTTCAATTTATTTAAATACCACTGTTAGTTTAAGTCTAGTATTGTTATATGGAATAAAATTCAGGAGGTATCCATTATAATTCATTTATGATTTCTTAAGTCAACCTAATTAAAACTTTACTTAGTCTACGTGAGGTATACATGGCGAAGTTAATGCCACAAACCAGTATTATACCTCTTTGAAATTCGCGTGGTTTAATAATTTAAGCGTAACGAAACTGACAGTAACACGATCCGACTAAACACAGGTGTGTACTTAAATGCAGCCAACTATTTAGCATATAAGATGGTGCATTAGAATGTACCTTCACTTGCAACTAACGCTTGTCAGATCAGGATAGTTAAACCAAACGTAAACCACAATGTTGTTCAGTGAGACTGTTAAGTTTGTACAGCAGATTTAGCTAAGCGAATAAACTAACCCCTTTATTAAACAAAACTATATTGTATTGTAACTATGTATTGTATTTCTATTTCTTGTTCCTTCACCATATTATAAAATGAATAATAATTTTAGCAGGAAAATCTTATCTACTTTTTTATAGGGTCTTGAAATTATATTTAAATAGCGACCTGGTTTCGCATGGGCTAAAAGAATTTTTGATGAAAGCTCCTCCAAGAAGCTCCTCCTAAAGGGCTCTTGATTTTTTCAACACATTTTCATATTTTATTGTTTTTAAAAGGAAACGCTCTTACCCATAGTGGCAATAATGGGAGTCAATCTTTGGCAGCCTGGTGGCGCCTTGATGTCCAAGTTCAGCAGATGGTCCAATGGCGTAAAAGCGTTTGTTGCTGGCAGCTGCTGACCAGGCAGCTCCATGGCATCATACTTGTAAAATAATATACAAATAATTTATTATGTACATAGGCCCTTTCCAGGGCACTTATGCACGTCCTAAATATAGCTTGCCCTACCACCACTTCGGGACAACATAATGGGCAGGTGCTTAGAAGAAGTTTTTTTTTTTTTTTTTTTTATGCACAACGAGGAAGCTCTTGGCCTGTATCTCACCTGATGGTAAGTGACGATCAGGCCGAAGGTGGAAGCAAGCTTCACCCGGAATCCTCAACCACGGAGGAACTGGCTATCTTACCTCTAACTGCCGGAACACAATAATGCTGTGAACATTGTTGTTATGGCGACAGACTTAGGTAAGATGGTGGTAGCTAGCCAGGCGGACTTAGAACAAGCCCTACCACCAACCAAACCGAACAGAAAAATCTGCCCCCACTGGGAATCGAACCCGGGACCTCTGCGTCTGAAGCAGGTGGTCTTACCACTAGACCACAGAGGCGGTTAAAGTGGCGGAAGAAACTCACGCCCGTATTCACAAACTATGCTTGCTCAAGTGAAGCAGCAAATCGAACGCACAGCGTTGAATAGAGCTCTGTGATTGGTTCGTATGTCACCCTTTGCGTTCACGCGCACTGTGAGACCTCATAGTAATGTTTGTGAATACGGGCGTTAGTCACCTTTGTCAGCCTATTTACAATACGCATTATTGTATTCTACAACGGATTCAAATACACATAGAAACATTAGCTATTTATTTGTAGCACTTAGCAATCTACCCGTTAAGTTATTCATCAGTAACTCAAAGATACTAATTGCTTTTTTATGATTACCTACGTTGGAAAAATTCTCGTATATAAACAAATAGTTCAAAATCGTACTTACTTCGCCTAGTTTTTCGTCAAATTCTGTAGGCCACACCATTTTATAATTATACTAAAATAAATCTAAAATCAGTAAAATAACTTTTGTTTTGTAAAGCAAAATGGTAGAGATTACGAAATGTCAATTCAGTATGTCAATAATCAAAGACTCAACGCCAAAGGACGTCAAGGTATTTTCTGTTTCCGCCAAAGTTTAGTTGTAATTTAATATTATTTATGGACGCGATGTTTTTGTAAAAACGTATGTATTTTTATATTATTTTATATTGTATTTATATTTAAAACTAACTTGTAGTTTGTACTCGTATGTAATAGTTAATTTTCTTCTGTTATTTTCTACGTTAATTTGACCAAAAGATTGGGGTTTGTTGACGCAGCAGCCTACCGTCCAAACGTTTGTCAAACAGCTGCGATTTTTCCGATTCCCGCGTTAACCGGATCAGACACGGATTACTCCCTTTCAGGCTCGCGGGTCCTGCGACAAAACGCAACTTGGTAGTAAGGTTCGATTTAGACGCGAAACTTAATTGCTGTTCCCTTGAATGAAACCTCCTGAATGTGATTTTTTATTAAATATGCTGAGGTATTTTACATGCTCACAACAATTGATGCTACATAAGGTTTGTAATTTAGGAATCCTTATAATTGGAGTTAATGTCTCAATCATCTCTTCGCCCGCGTCCAGGCTATGCCAATACGTAAGAATAACAGTAGGTATAGCCTGACCAGGAACATAAAAACCCTCGCCATATTGCGGAAAACTAATGGTACTAATTTCTTTTAATGGCAACAGTAACTAAAAACTTCATTGACATGTCACCTTGCATGTCAGTCTATTGTTGTCAAAGTGTAAACAAACTTTATTTTAAATGTGCGCAATTGATTTTGTGAATGAAATTGCTAAAATCTTTTTATAGTCGTGAAAGAAAAGTGGTTCACAATGTGTTAAAGTATTTGTCGAAGAGAAATACCAAGGGTTCGGACAATATTTTCATTGAAAATGTTTCCAATAAAGGTTGTCAAATTGACTGACATGTTTATCGTATAGTACAGTCCACTATGAAAATTAGCTGTGGTTTGTTTCAACTACCTATTTTAAAGTTTTTTGTCACTTTCTAAAAGTTGAATTTTATGGAATTGGGAAAGAAGTACCGAGTTTGAAGCGTTCATGAGCAGACATTGCAGTTGAATATTCAAGTTCTGAATTTGATTATTGATGAATAATAAAATAAATCCTACTAGTTCGATTGATGGTTTCATTTAATTTATTTAAACCAGGTTACCTATAATAATATTTTTTCGTTAATTTATGAAAATATCAAATTAGCCCGTAATCCTGAATCCTGAAACATAAAGTTAGCCTATTAATTTAACACAGGTACGACTGTACTCAGTGTTGCACTATCAAATGCAATTGANTATTTTGGACACAAGTTGCCGCGTAGAAATGTTATCGAACACTCCTTCTGGTTTGTTCTGTATTCTGAGACTCGTACAAAGTGGATAAAATGATTTACGATATCCGCTTATTCAAAATTTCAGACGATTTGATTTGATATCACGGTTTGTTTCAATAAATGAACTCATTATTTTAATAAAGTTTTTTAATTTATGCAGATTTAAATAATTTTGGTGTCAACATTACATTTTATCCAAACGTTTGTCGATTCGTAGTTGGAAACATGCAAAATAAACTTTAGATTTGCAAGCCCGACTTCCCAAACTTTCCCAATATTCCTTGCACATCTTATTCGAACTAGACTTTGTACAAAACGAATTCTTTACGTCAACTCGTGCGTCGAGCGAAAACTCTTGGGGATACATCTATAAAAATCTTGTCGGTATGTGCGTAAAACCCTTTGTGTTGGCAAACTTACCGAATGATTCCCAGAGGCCCGTAAGTAATCAATGAAATTTGGGATCGTGATGCTTGTTCGAAATATATTTTATATCTATGCAAATAGAAACTGAGCTAAAATTGTATTTAGTGTTTTGATATTTCATATCATTGTGATGTTATGTGACCAGCTAGCCCTGAGACAGAATCACCATCGTCCATGCATTATTATAGGTATTCTATATTCGGACTTCTATAGTCTTTTTCACGTAAGATGATCCGTATGACACTTCAAGGTTATCCATATTACGCATACTACATATGCAGAATATTTTTGAAAAAAAATTTGTATTTTATTAGGAATATAATAAAAAAAAAAATAACTACTTGTCTTGAAATATATAGTAAAATCTGAGTCTATTGATTATATTTAAATTAAATACGATGTAAAAATATTTTTTATTTAATGTACGCAATGTGTGAAACGGAATAGATTTAGTGCTGGGGTATTTCTTGTTTAATAAAATCGATTATTTCCGCGGTTCATTAATCGATTGCAGTGAATACTTAGTTAATAAAAACATCACAAAAATCAACTATATTTTTCGATTATTGACTTTAATAAACGCATTGAAAATAAATTAATAGTTTTTAATTTAAAGAAACAGAACCAGTACTTTTTAGGAATCGTTTTTTTGAACACGAACCATGAAATTTGAATATTTTCAATAAAAAATTGCTACAATAATATTTGTAATTAAAAAAAAACATGTTTTTTGTTAAATAACACCCATACAAAATATTTCTCTAAAAGTAGGTTTCACTACCTCTTCGAAAAAAATCGGTAGATAAATCGCTATGGTTTAGTTATGTGACATCTCTAAATCTTTCAAACTCGAAACGTCATACGGATCATCTTAGGTGAAAAAGACTATAAGGCGTATGATAGATACAATGAAAATAACTAGAAAAGTTTGAGGGTTGAGGGTTTTGTAATTAAAACATTATTACTTTAGGGGTAGATTTATTACATAGAATTGCAAATAGTACACATAAAAAATATAAATTATCAAGAATGTTTTGCCTCTTCAGCTTCTTCATCATCAAGACATCTGAAAAGAAAATGAAACTGTTAAACTGCTTTATATTTTCAGTGAATACCGGATTCATACAATTAGTATTTTTTGTCGATAAGGATTAAATTAAATTCTAACTTACTCGACCAAAGCTTTTATGGAGATGGTGACTGGCCAAATCCTGACCAGGTCGCAAAAGGAGCTCTCCTCGGTGGCTCTCTGAAGAGTCACGTAGGTGTCACCATATGTCAACCAGCCCCTCTTCACGGCATATTCTATGGCGAAGTGGACCCTGGCTTCCACGTTAAGGTTCCAAGTACTCTTTGGTTTTCCTGGGTAGGAAAAAATCGTATTACCTCTAGATTGAAAGATTAGATAGAGTACCTAGGCCGTAGGTAGACGCAAATATTATTTTTCTTGGATTAAGTTCTCTATCAAAAATTTTAGATTTAATTCCCCCGGCATACAAAGTAGTAAATAATTATTTGAGGAATTTACCAGTTTATTTTTAGTGACTAAATATCTTTTGGCCAACCCCCTGGCTAGTGTGGGGAGTGTACGCCACATCCTTCATTTGCCTCTAGAAAATTTGCGGGTCGTTTTCTTGCTGTGGAGATTAAAAACCCTGGTGATAATGACCAACCTGTATACATGAGCGGCACAATACACCTGAAGGTATGAAGCAGGCGGGTGATGCTGGGTTGCGTGCTGACGGTGATGACGAGGCAGGCTAGCTTCATGCGCAGGAGAGCTCTTGCCGTGGTACCAGTCACGGTGGGCATGACGATGACGCGCGCTTGCGATTGGTTGGCTACCGTTGCGCATGCTAGCATGCATGCCTCGGCTGCGTTTAGGGGCATCTTCACCTTAGGAAAGTAAACGCTAGCTTTGAATTAAAATTTAAAAATCCAAGTAGCGAATCTTTATGGAAAGTATGTATTAAATCAAATAAATGGGAGAGCCCTATGTTCAGCAGTGGACCAATGGCTGAAATAACGATGATGAAGCATTTTAGCATCTTATAATCGGATTTGCTACACAACATTATTTTTTACTCATTCTGTATGTGGTTCTGTTAGCGTTGTTGTTGCATAATATTGGAATCAAGATCCTTCTAATTTTTTCTAAATATTTAGTTGCCTTTTGATTACGAATTAGCACGAAACATTTCAGTAGTCAGAAAATAATAATTTAATTATCACAAACGAAACCAATTCATGCACTTTAAATGCTTTTTTTACTTTAGTTACCCGAAATACCATTAATAAAATTTTATTCACCTCATCAACAAGCCTCCAGAAGTCTGTCTTCGAATGCGTGTAAGGCTCGACCGTGCGGCACAATTCATTCAGGGACTTTATTGTTTCAATAACGTTTTCCGTATCGTTGCAATCCTTCAGTATAAATCCATTTACTCCTTCGAGCAAGGCATTCGTTACGTCGGATACCTCAGAATCACTGTATTCGCCTTTTGTAAGAGAGTCTTGGAAAACACCGCCCGATATGTAATAAGGTTTTCCATGCTGAAACACAAAAGAAAACAATATAAATAATATTGTTATTACTTGAAGAGTTGCTGGTTTGTGCAAAAAAAATTTAGTATTTACCGATTGACATTTTGCTGCCAGCCACTTTTGTATTTGACTCAATTTGTATCGTCTGGATGGCTCCAGTTCGTAAGGCAGAAATTCTCTGGATAATACAATGGCATCGGATTCCTGTGCAATAAATTGAAAAGTATTATATTAGATGTATTTAAGTAAGATACATTTAATTTAATTTAGGTACTTAAATTCTTCTTTGCTTTAAGCCCGCGGAGCCGAAGCATTAACAACCGCAACAAGAAGTTTTTATGTTGAAAGTAGTTTCATAGACATTTTTCTTTTCTTTATTAAATTATGTCGAGTCATTCATTGAGTCAGCCATTCAGTTTCTTTATTCAAGCTTTAGGATGTTTTGTATTTTATCAATAGGTCATTGATTTGAATATCTATTTGTTTAAGTCTGTAATGCATGATGTATGAAAAGTTAATGAGATGAATAAATACCTATTATCGACATACGACAGCTTATTACTTACTCTCAACGTATTCAAAGCGTAGCCGTAGCTTTTTTCTAAAGCCACTCCGATACGTTGTCCAGATTCTTCTTTCAAACATGAGTTTTCTTGTTTATATTATTTAACTCTATCAGATTTACACGAAAAAGACACGAATATTGAAATACCTATGGTCAACTTAACAAATCGGACAACATTAACAATCTTATGAATATATCGACAATGGATGTGTACACCATAAACGCTGCCAGCGCATAGTCTTCTTCGTCTATTTCCATACTTTTCCCACCGATAATCATCTGAAGCTCTGCTATGAGTATCACAACACTAAAAAGGGTGCCTACAAAGAGTATGACTATGTGAAGAGGCTTAATGTAAAAATCAAATATGAACATGCCTATCGTGAGCAACATGGACAAAACGGCGAAAACTGTAGCCGCTACTATAATATAGATCCAAAAACGTGTGAAATCGAACGAAGAACACGCAATTAGAATACAAACAAGAACCGTGAGAGTCGTCCCAATCAGAGCGTACACGATTAAAATAGTTTTTGCTTTTACCGTGAACCATGAGGTTATGACACTCATGCCGACGACGGCTAAGAAGAGGCAAATGTAACTGCCAGGCGGAACCCTTGCGCAGCGACAGAAAGATATCGAGCAGCTTAAACCAATCATGAAAATCATGGCACCAATGACAAAAAAGAAGCCAAACCTCTCAAACATGCTACGAAGAGGTGGCAAAAGATGCACCAGTACATTAAACCCCGCAGTACATATTAGCATGAACAACACAATCCCAAAGACTAGCCGTATAAATGAGTTTCTGGATGGTTCATAAGCAAAACCACCACCACCACCTCCACCACCTTCAGGGCCATATTCACCACCATATTGAACCCATATAACTTTATTTGGCCTAATATTTTGTCCTAAATACTCGTAGACGACATAGTTCTTCTGTGTATTTGAGACCATTTCTACTTTTTGCTCTTTGTCTTCTGTATTTTCTGACTCTTGTGATGTTATTGGTATCTCTTTACTCTCCGTAACATCCATGTCTAATGTAATCGTGTCTGGATCTTTGGGTGAACTATCCTTTATCATTATTTCTTTTGTTATTTTACACTTGTTGGTTTTCAAATCAATGATAATAAGAAACGTTTGAAATCAGCGAAAATTTATATTTGATAAAATTCTGTGTTTATCTCTTGTAAACAATATAAAAAATAATTGTCATTGTCAATGTATGACATTGTCAAATGCTTATGTCTAATACGGACATAAAAATCGGTCATTTCATAATTTTATGTAGGTTTAAGCAAAGAGTTATCTATGTAACTCAGCTATGTATATTTTACCTATGTCTATGTTGCCATCTTGCTGCTTCAAGCAAGGTTAGAACGTCATAAAAAATAATTACCTATTCAACAGAATTTAAATTACTTTGTGTGTAACGTGTAACACAGGACGTTCGTTCACCTATCGCCAGTACAAAGGAAATACATAAATTACTACCTTTGCTATTTCATCGATGTTATCCAGACACTGTTGCGTGCATATTCCACTTATCAGAATGGGTCTTTTTATTTTACGTCCAATGTACTTTTTTATTTTCCTCAATGTTTCTGCTTCGCGTACGTAGTTTATAAGTATTATATCTACCTGTAAAAATGTTGCCATTTTAAAAGTACACATACAAAAGTACAGACAAACCTTGCTATGTATTTAATGTTGTTTTTAATGTTTTTTTTTACATTACAAACTGAATTACCCAGAATTTAAAGAGTTCTCTACCTGATACTCGATAGCGAACCGAATAATTTGAAAGTCCCGTTTGCCCAGCAATGGTTTTTGACGCTTGGCTCCTCTCATTGACACATATTCCATATTAAACAAATTGCCACCCTTAGACACTATGCATCTTATGGTCTTATTATTTACTATTTCTGTACAATGTAGTATCAGTTCCTCTTGCCCTATAGATATTTCCATGCCAACCTTGACTTCAGTGGTCAAGAATGGGTTGTCGACGAATATCTTCTCTTCGGTACAACTGTCAAAATCTGCCAAGTTATATGTGAGTAGAATGTGAGAACCTTCTGCTATTGGGATGGAATTTACTTCCTGTAAGAAAAAATGGCTTGTAAATCAAACTAACTAAAAGATTGACTAAACTAAAATGCAGTCAAAGTTTTAGAATGAAAGAGTCTGGACCTATTTATTTATTTGTATGTCAGGCCAATTTTAAATTCTTTTAAACAACAAGTTTGTATAAAGTGCCAAGCAAGTTGTTGTTGTTGGAACAAATTATTTGGGCTTTAGTTGGTGTATTCGAAAAACACAATTTGTTAGAAAGTTTGTGAATGTTATCTGACCTCTTCAAGCAAGCCAGTCTTGACCACGCAAGTTTTCAGGTCCAAACAAGTGGCGATGGGCCAGTCTTTCACCCCAAATTTCTTGCACAGATTCAAGGCCGCTCTATCCACCTTTCCAAGCATCCTCATCTTCTCCCCTTTTGTTGTATTCGACATCTTGAATCTGGCCACATTCATGCCCGCTTCCATCATCTTCTGGATGTCTACTGGGGTGAGTTTTGCATCCGCTAAACATGTTGAATATAATTTTAAATCTTCTATTTACATACGTCTATTAGATGGAGAAACCTTTGTTTGTTTTAATAGGGCCAATGAGGATGCTGTAGACATTCACGTAACTTACAGGTAAAATGATACAGGTATCTAAGAGGTCACCTTATTGTGCCACACTAATTGGGAACCAATCAATAAAATTGAATCGAATACGTAAGTACAGTATCTTCAAGCGACAGTTAAATTCCCAGGTGCGAGTACTTCTAGATTCTTAGACAATTTGTAACAACGTTCTTACATAAAGTAGCTATAATGGGGCTTCTCCTTTGCTTATATGGGTCTTGACGTACGACAGCAGCTTTCCCAAAGTCCACGTCAGCAAACTTGATCATATCTGCTTTTGGCCCCATGATTGATGCTTGGGTGTCTCTTTTTTACTTTCCTCAAGAAATAGAAACTGTTAGAAAACTTTATTAGTAAACTGTTAGAAAGCTTAGCAATACGAATAACTAAAATTAATACAAAGAGCAAATTAACTCAAAAACGCTGTTTTTCCAGGTACACATAAACACAAAGACATAAACATCATCACAAACTTCTGTCACACTATGGGTGCGTCAAAGGCGTCAATCAATCAAGAAAAACGAAAAACACAGGCACGAGATTACCTTCGAGCAGTTTTAGTGGTATGGGAGATACTATTATTTAATAATTTATTATGAGTTGAGTAGAGTCATCATGCCTTAACAAATTACGTACCTCAAACATCCGTTATTTTTTTCTGTAAAAGATAATTTATTATTATGACAAGTTTTTACTATAGTTTTGAATAAACATATTATACTCCACACATCTTCATTCACATCGACACTACTACCATAACTAAATATACACATAAATAAGTACCTACTCTTATTACACACGAACTGACTCAAGAACTCAAGCATAACTATATACCTAAAGCACATTTATGATCAAGCAACAAAAGGCTACTTTTTACCTCGATTTTTATGTATCCTAACATGTGCCGTTTACTTTTCACAAGCAAACAAATGTTAGTTGCAATGGATCAAGAGTTATTGTATCTTTAAAAATAACAAAAAGTAAGAATGTTCTCAAAATACTTATAATATAAAAGCCATACACATACAATATACTCTTATCTGTGCGGAATAACTTCTAAGAATTGAACTCGCAGTTGTCCACTTAATGGAACCTCAAATAAAAAATACGGCATTTCTACGCCAACATTGTTCTGTAATGGAGTATGTTCCGGAGAAGTTAATTGAAAGTCTTACAAACAGAAATCCACCAAAACGATGTTACAGGAAAAGGTTAAATAATATAAAATAAAGGACCAAAAATAAATTAATGTAATCAAGTAAGGTAAACTCCGATAGAACAATATACAAACAACTACAAAAAATTAAAATTAAAGTAAGAAAATACAAAAGTAAGAAATTAAGAAAAAATTCATACAAAAAATAGAAAAAGAAACAACATTGCTATTAAAAAGTAAAACTATAACCTAAGACGACTGTGATAATGACGGACAGGATCTGACGCATGTTCAGGGCAATCAAGTCTGGAAGCAAAAATCGTTATTAATTTAAATCGGTAAACGCACATTTTTGGAAAGTCACTCCTACTACTAACTATAATAGTGTGAATAGAGTTTAGTTAAGTTTAAGTTAATTCGTTGTTTTAAGGCGACAGATATCAGTATTATGACTTTTATAAAGAAAATCCTCCAGTATCTCACCCTTTCTTTTTGGTTTCTTCGACGACCACCTTCCACAGGCTGACGTGGTCGCAGTAGGCACTAGAAGGACTGCCTTTGCGCAGCACGACGTACATCTGACTGTACTTCAGAAGGTCGTGCGTCAAGCCGTAGGAGACGGCGAACTCGACACGAGCGTTTATATTGCCGTACCAGTCTTTCACTGATTTTTCTGTGAAAAAATGCTCAATTTTAGTTTGTCTCAGCTTAAGTTTACTTAAAAAAAACTTAGATATGTAGTGCAGGCAGTTGCCAACTTGCCACTAAGAACAAACTGATGCAACGGTGGGTAAGTCATGTTCTCTTGACAACAGAGATTAACGCCCGTATTCACAAATTTTACTCGGAGGTCTCTCAGTGCGCGTGGACACACGAACCAATCACAGAGCTCTATTCAACGCTATGTGTACGATTTGCTGCTTCACTTAAGCAAGCATCGTTTGTGAATACGGGCATAAGTTGCAAGCAGGCCTACTCAAATATACGTTTATGAAGCTACGTTTCTACATTCTACACCCTAGCTAGGTAGACTACATTAAGTCTATGTGGACATTGAGCTTAAGGATGAATAAAATTTAATTCCATAAACAGATAAGTACTGAGCGAAGTGAACTTACGGTCATAAGTGATAGGTATGATGCCGCGGTACAGCTGGAGTTGCCTGGACACCCTGGGGTCGGCGCTGACACTCAATATGATAGCGTCTGGCGACAACCTGGCCAGCTGCACAGCCGTCTTGCCGGTCACTGTCAAGACCACCACTGCGACTGACCCTGACTGTCTCGCTGTTATCGCACACGCTAGGATGCTGGCGTCGACTGCTGTCACTGGTGGTGGTAACTAATAAATAATAATTATTTATATTTGTAATTAATCTCGCTCTTTGTAATTTATATTACAACAGTAGCTATTGAAAGTAATTACTTTCAGTGTCGCATTTAAAACACATTTAAATTCTTAATAAACGATTGACATAAACGCGATATACAATAAATGTGACTTGAAAAAATACCTCACTTTGGGCTCACCTCTGGGATCAAATAGACCAATTTTTATGGTTATAAAACCAAATAATGATCTCACGTGTCCTTTTTAACAGATGGATAGCGATTAATCCCAACTTAACAGTTTTATAGTCATAAAAGTTGGCTTAAGCGTAATTACCTATTTTTTTAAGAAGTGACTCTGGATTCTTCTACAGACACATTTTTGGGGTAAAAACCTTTCCTTTAATGAAATGAAGTTTAGAACTAGGCTTTTAAATGGTGCCAATATTGGTGGGAAGTGGGAATGCATAAGTTTGAAAGTGTTTGTCGCGGGAGGGTCGATTTTTGTGATGACCAGGGTATTTAGTACATTACTGGTGCTATCACTAGTGTTAATGGTGATGCTGATATTTGTGAAGATATTAATTTCGATCGGTGTTAATAATGACGATATCTATACCTATTTTATTCGGGAAAGCAAACGAAAGCAAAACAAGCTAACATCTAAGCATAACCTCCAGAAACTCATCTCGTCTTGCTGAGTCATAGTTTCAACCAGTTTGCAAACCGAGTTCAAATGGTTCATAGAATCCAAAAGGCTGGTGGCGTCAGCGTAGCTCTTGAGTACAAAGCCGGCTCCTTGCATTACTGCATTTGTGACGTCATTAAGTTCTCTACACGATATAATGCCCAGTTTCAGATGCTCTTCCAATACATTGCCAGATAAGTAAAATGGTTTTCCTTGCTGAAAGTAATTTATTAAAATAATGTCGATTCTTCTGGCTTTTTAATTGCAAATGAAAATATTTATCTACTCACTTGTTTACACTTTGCACTAATGTACATTTGTATAGATATCAACTGATTTGGTTTTACCAAAAACTCGGCCAGAAATTCTCTTGCTAGTATGATTCCATCTGATGCCTGTAAAATTGGATAAGGACTAAATTCGTTTAACTAAGTGTGACGCACTGAATTGTTTTTAATTATATCTTAATGACTTACAGCAATAATGTCATCTAAGTTATCTAGTCCTTCTTGCTCACATATTGTGCTTATGATCATTGGCATATGACAGCCTTTAAAAAAGGCACGCACTTTCCCTAAAGTTTTCGCTGTACGAATAGAATGAACTGTGATTACATCTAGCTGAAATTATAATATTACGTTAAGTTAGGTTTATTTATATTATACTAAGACCTTTTTCTTCCTTTACCTATTCTAGATCATCCACACACAAAAACCTTGGGGTAAAAGGACTTATCTTATTTAAAATGGAAAAGAAAGTATATTTTAGAGAATTACCTCATATTCTTTAACAAATGCGAGCAGTTGCTTATCCAATCTTGATAAGGTTGGTCTTAAAAGTCTGGTTCCTCTTATACATACAAATTGTGCGTGTGATAGGTATCCACCGGAGACTATTTTACATTTAATACTTATCGGGTTTATAACTTCAGTGCAAATCATTGTAATTGCACCAAAATTGATGCTTATTTCGGTGTTAGGTTTGACCGTTTCAAGGGTGAATGGGTCGTCAATAAACATTCTTTTTTCATCACACTGGTTCCAGTATTTAACTTCGGCTGTAACTTCAATTATTTTACCTTCTTCTAAGAATATTCTGTTTTTGTTTATTTCCTGTGTTCGAAAATCACATTGATTATGAAAATAAACACGAATAAATACCATAAAATGTAGATCACTTTGCAAAGTTCAAAGTAGGTATTATAGGAGCTTAATTGTTTAGTATCAATCTAATTGTTCTGTATGTCCCATTTTTTTAAAGTCAATCATCATCATCATTTCAGCCATAGGACGTCCACTGCTGAACATCGGCCTCCCCCAATGCTTTTCACGTTGATCAATTGGTAGCGACCTGCATCCAGCGCTTTCCTGCTACGTTTACGATGTCATCGGTCCACCTTGTAGGTGGACGTCCCACGTTTAAAGTCAATAAGGGAGTAATTTTGAGAAATTTTTGAAGCCAAGCTAAACAAAGATAAAAGGTCATTTGGATTTGGTCTTACATCTTTCAAATATCCAGTTCTTATACAGGCATTCGGCAAATCAATGGACACAGCAACTGGCCAAGTAGACTGTTCGTATTTGTCGCAGCACCATGTAATAGCTTTTCTTAGATTTGAGAGCAATACCACCTTATCTTTTCTAGCAATATGGGTCATTTTGAATCTTACTATCCGAAGACCGGCCTCCAAAAAGTTTCGGATGTCGATTTCTGAAATTGTTCCTTCACCTGTAGCAAAGTATAAACAGCATAATAAACTAAATTTTTATGGAAAATAGTAGGAATATTAACTAAATCAGATGCAATAGTGTTAAGCTTGTTTATTGAGGGCATAACATCCAAATCATGGCTTATTCAAATCGTTCTGCATGAGAAAAAAAACTTGGCAAAATACTTACAAATAGTAACAATGTACGGTGTGAGTCGGTAAGGTTTCTCAATTCTTTTTTGATGAAGAACCTTCTGTTGAAATTCAAGTTCACTGGTTTTCGGAAGCAAAGCCATTGTGATAAAATAATAAAAATAGCAAAAAAAATGTTAACAATGTAAATCACCTCATACAAAAATACATGAAAGTAATAAAGGCATCAGCCTAACAGAATAAAATACTTCATAAAAGTTTTTCATTAAAGCTGAGCATAAAAGTGAGAATAGCAACAACAAAACACAACAAACAGTTCAAAATTGTCAATCAAAGACAATAAATATCTGTGACATAAAAATTACAGATTATTAAATCCACGTAGGTCAGAAGATCAAAAAGTTATAAATGTCGGTTTTATTAAAAAAAATCAATTTCGATTCGAGCAAACATATTAAATAAATATCTACTCTCTTCGTACGCATGGATCCCGTTATACCCCCTTAGAGCTGAGTGTTACCATGTATTTTAACTTTTGCTTAAAGGTATATTAGGACTCAATGTCAGATACGGTTTAATCCATCCTGTGTGTTTCTACACATACTATGCGACCCAGCTGTATTTGTGAATCATGACCTGCCTCCGTCCAGCTTACCTACATTTCAATACTGAGCTCAAACCCTATACTAGTTAGTTTGATCATAGTACAGACAGAAGCTTGGCTTTTGTAAGTAGGTACTTAATTAATATTAAAACACTGAGTTTGCTAACATCTCCATGATAATTTGTCAATGCATTGCTTCAAAGTAAACACGACGATAAATTATTAAAGCATCATTATGTGTTTTCATAGGAGCATTTTGCGGCATTTTCTTAAGTCTGATACTAACTTAACTTCTTGGCAGTTCTTCAAATTCAATATCTCTCACAACATCCATTTCAAAACAGCAGAAAACACATTTTCAAGCAAATACGCTTGTCCCAGATGCAACAACAAAATTATAAGTGGCCAGATACCAAGTAACGAATCTCTGTCCCCCATTATTTCCTCTATTTGTCATGTTCCCTTGCTAATGGACAAACAGGACAACCGCGGTGCAATGTTGATTTTTAGTTAGCTTGTGCCCCGGCGCGACGTGGCTTGTATCTTTCGAGATTTATTTTGCCCAAGGCAAAGGAAATAAGAAGGATCTGTATATTTTTCTTTCGGTTAAACCGCTATTGCGTCTAAGTGGCGCGGAAAGCTCGCGAATCCCACTGTGCTGTGTGAATAAATATCGGTTATGAGAAATGGCAAGTCCGCTTACAAGAAAGGAAGATTGGTTTGAAGAAGCTGAAAATTAAATATAGCTTAGTTTCTTGAGACTGAATTTGTAAATGGAGACATTGCCTGGTTGGAGAGCGTACTACTATCAAAAGTACCTACCTTTTGATATGATTTGTTGTCCATGTTATTTGGCACTGAATTATCGACAATGTTGAGAAGAAACAAATGTAATTTCTCTTGGATCAGAATACCAAAACATTTTGAGGGTCCTACTTTGAGTAGGCATAAATATTAAATACATTTAATGTTTTAACCACCTAGCCTCACAGTATTAAGCGACTAAGTTAAATAAACATCGTTTTAGAAATTTATAAACAGAAAACTGCGTAATATACGAATGTATTTTCAGTCTTGTATTTATTATGTTTGTTTATGTAAGTTTAATATTGCGAACTTTACTCAAAGAACGAATGATTCAAATATTTGCTTATCCTTCAGACACGAAAAGAACGAACAGTTTAATGTGACCTTACTTTTAACAGAAAAGAAAACATTACAACAGTAAAATTTTGCCTGAGTCTCCCAACGGCCAGGCATAAATAATGGGCCAGGATCTTTTATATTGGCCCGTGTAAAGGTATTCCCCCATGTCTCCGAGTTTGCTTGTGATCTCGGCGACATCAAACTGTCTATTCCTTGTGGAATACCCATGAATTATGGAAAAAAGAGGGGGTCAGTCACCAACCTTTGTCCAAGTTTCGCAATGTTTTTCTAGTTGGACGAGTACAGCGTTATTCTTGCTGAGCATGACAAATTCGGAGATGTTGCCAACAAGGTAGTCTTGGCAGCGTATACCGTGTTTAAATCTCAGTTAGTGGAAAATATTTCCAAAATTACTTTTAAAGTTCGCAAGCGGTATTTGGTTTTCTTTACTTTTTAGTAAGTTACGTTATAAAGCTGATCGAGTGTATAGAGCTTAATTAAACTCGGCATATTGAAATTTTTAAATACCATAAAACGTGTTATCAGCAACGAATTAAAACAACGCTATTAATAAAACAGTTTATGAAAATTCTAGAAGAAAATTAATTGAAATGTAGAAGCGAAAGTTCGTACAAAAAGTTGAATCGTTTGACTGATCCTTTGCCGACGCCAGTCCAGGTGCCTTCAGTAATTATATTTTGAAAGGGTCCAATATTTTTGCAATCCGTTTTCTTTAAAAACAAATTTCGGCTACCCTTCAGGGGAATTTGTACGATATTATCCCTCCGGCGCAAAGGTATTAAAGTTATACAAACAGTGGGTATTTTGTAGGACAAATAATATTAAAATAATTCTGTTAAGAGGTCTTTGGAAAGATTTGTTATGTCTTTCGTGTTTACGTTGGTAATATCAAGTTTGTAACTTAGTTACTCGTCTGTAATAAAAGAGGTAGGTAGTTAACTTTTTTTACTAAATGTATTTTAATGCGATAGTTCTAAAGCCTACCTCAAAGGTCAGCTGCTGAATCCTAGCGTCATGGCATACTCTATCCTGAGTATTTTTTTTTTTAAAGTCCGCGTTGTATGTCCACATTGTCCACATGGACGATTGCATCTATTGTTTTATGAAGTGAAATTCCATGTGCCTTATATTTTGGCTTTCTTTCTCAAATCTTTTACCCGACTGCGCTAGATTGAGGGTTCTATACCTATCAGTTTAATTTAATTTTCAACTAACTAATATCAGGTTAAAGATAACCTGATGTTAATAGTTAAATTAGATACAATAGTATAATAAATGACGTCCGTCATTTAGCAGACGGCTCGGACTAATCTGTGGGGCCCCGAGGCAATTTGTTAATAGCCTTCGGCAGGAAACCCTAAATTACACTTGGACGTTTGTACTTGGTGAAGCTCATGTCTGTTTGCCTACTGAGATACGATCGCTTGTGTTAAGTGAAAGCCCTATGTGAAAGCCTAGTAAAGGTTACACGCAAATGTAATTGTAAACTACTGTTCAACACGTGTGTAAATTAATGGAGTGTTAAATTAATATGAAAAAAACCTTAAAAACAAGCTTTTATAATAGTCATAAAGAAAACGAGGCCAAAGGCGATAGGGTTGTGCCATTTTACTGTAGAGTTCCTATTATCAATGCCACCTTCCAGCTCCATAATTAGACCATAGACATACTCGTGTGTCATATAGGATTGAAGTAGGTACTGGTCAATACAAACAAACTAACCATTCAATACATTTACTATTATGTATTGACGAGTACCTACTTCAATCCTATATTTATATTTGAGAGACCTATGGTATTGTAACATAAATAACATTCAATGAGAAAAGTCTTAGGTAGAGCTAGCCTTATTACCTTTTAGGCTTTATACTTTACAATTTTATTCTACTTTATCTAGCTTTTAAATAACAGCAACAATGATTTGATATTTCTCAAGGTTACTGTTAACGAGATAAGGGTATCCCTAATAATTACTTGAAGGTAACCTGTGAACTAAATAAATTACTTAAAGTAATTTAGCAGTAAGCAAGGTCCGAGGTTAATGTGTGGGTCCCAAGGCGCGTCGTTACCCTGCCTTAAGCTGCTACCATGATACTGGGGTCCCTTTACTTGAGTATTACTTTAATATAAGTGCTGAAGGTATTCTGTAACGCTCGGAATATGTAAGTTTAAGTTAAGTAGGACCTATAGCCATTTCAATGATGATTATGAGGAGCATAATATACTCGTATGTAGTTGTTCACAGCCATAAAACGCTATCTGTTAAACAGATGAAGGTTATTGGTTAAGTGACTCTATATGCTAAGGCTGAGTTGCACCACCTAACTTTGACCTTAACTATTACAATAACCAGTATTTTTTGTATGGATTTTGACAGATTTTTGACGTTTGTCAAAGTTAAAGTAAGATGGTGCAACCCAGCCTAAACATTTTTATTAGAAGTCTGTAAAAGTTGTAGTTTATCTGACGGATAAGTTACTTATTCGAATTTATCAGCAAGTTATGTACAGGATCCCTAGATATTAGAACCTAAAAATATGTTTAGTGAGTTTTTGCTCAAGAGATAACATACAAAAGTAACTTCTTAAGTGCTTTTACAACTATTTTGTTGGTTCGTGTGTAACTTTCATCCATATTTAGGTATCGAGTCCAGGGTTTTTGTCTAGTGTGCAAATTGATTTCCAACCCACAGTTTCAAACATTGTTTTTGCGAATATTGTTGGAGTGTCCTCGTTCAGACTTTCCAATCAGCTGGTGACAGTTAGATTGGATCCCATATAGATGGAAACCAACTGAAAAACATAGATTGATATGCCGGCGGCTTTGTATAAATTGGTTATTTAGATTTAGGGCTCTGGTCCATTTAGAGTTTTCCTTGTATAAACAGGTAGGTATTAGTATTTTATTTTACTAATAAAAAGAGATTCTCTCAAGATAGCGAAACTCATATTAGTGTTATTGAATCCATGACGCCTTCCTGAAAACTTTATGAGGCCATCTATCCATCTTGTGAGTGGAGTCCTATGCTGGGCTTACCGGACCTGTGGCTGAAATGAGGATTATAAAGAGGAACAACTGCTATGCTGCTTATACAGGGCGGAATTTTGTAATGCCACCTGGAGGGAAAGTACTCCCGTAGATATAAATTTTTAATGAAAGAAAACATTCCTTTATTTTTGAAAAGAAAGAGAACTGCATTCAAAAATTTTCCAAAAGTTTTCGAAAATTCACTATCATACCATACAAATTTTCTGTAAAATAATTAAAATAATTTAAGATTTCATGGTTTTCCTTTCATTTGATTTATCATGTTTGTTAGAAAGATTTCATCCTTATAGTTAACCCTAGCGATCGATGTAATAAAAATACAGGGTGTGATTTTTACAGATTTTAGTTGGTTCGATTCC